GTGTGTGTGTGTGTGTGTGTGTGTGTGTGTGTGTGTGTGTGTGTGTGGTGTTTGTGTTTTGCCTGTGTTGTGTGGTTTGTGTATGCCACATGTGCCTGGTATCCTCAAAGGTCAGAAGAGGACATGGGGTCCCGTGGAACTGGGCTTGGTTTTGAGCTACCATGTAGGTGCTAGAACCCAAACCCAGATCATCAGCAAGAGCAGCAAGTACTCTCAATCACTGAGCATCCCTCTCAAAAAGTAATTGTTAGCTTAAACTACCATGAGGGAAAGACAATTTTTTAAACCCTTTGGTAAGAAATACTATGCCAGACTTTTGGTTTCTTGCTTTAAAATTACAAGAACTCAAATTCTCTACCATAAACACTCAAGTTTGGCTTTTTTTTTTTTTTTTTTCAGACAGAGTCTCACTGTGACACCCTGGCTGGCCTGGAACTCGGAGGGATCCAGTGGCTTGTGTCACTGTGCTCAGCCAGGGACTTAGGTCTTAAATGTAGTGTGAGTTTTTCAAGGTGAAGAAAGTGAGATGTCGTAGTGCCAGTGGCAGGGCTGTGTCCTACACGAGGGGTCGCGCCTGCAGGCGCCCAGCAGCCTGGCTTTAACAGTCCTTCATCTGTCACTGCTTCACAGTCAGCCAGATGCTCGCCTTTTAGGGGAGACTACTGAATTCTCAGTGCCATGCCCAAACTTGACTTCTCCTCCAGGACAGTTTCGTGCTTTTGTAAACCAGTCTTCAGTTGGGTTTTTACTGCCCTCCGCTGTGAGAAAACCGATAGGGCAATATGCTGAGGCAGTAAGAACTCATTTGGGATTTTAGTGTCATTTTTACAGAATTCTTAACAATCCTAATTCCAGGTGTGTGTGTGTGTGTGTTTTAATTTGGTTCTGGCATTTCCTTTCTACTCACACTGAAGATGACCCAAGAGTAGATGTGGTAAAGTATTCTGTTTGAAAGTAGAAGAGGCCAGGTGGATCTGTGTTAGTTCAAGGCCAGCCTGGTCTACAGAGTGAGTCCAAGACAGCCAAGGTTACACAGAGAAACCCTGTCTTGAAAAACAGAAGAGGCCAGGTGAGGTTCTCACCTGTAATATCAGCTCTGGGAAGCCTGAGGCTGGGGTGTTCAGAGTTTGTTGCACAGGAACAAAACAGAACAGTCATCTGCAAGTGAGAATCAGGATGGGGCGTTCCCGAGTGCACACAAAAATTTCCATTTTACAAGGTGAGAAAAGGTGGGTGATGGTGGCTGCACAAAGTTGTTCCCCACAGTTGAACAATACACTTAAAAGTGGCTACTGTGCACAGTGGCACACTCCTGTAACCCAGCACTCAGGGATGCAGAGGCAGGAAGATCTCTTGTGAGTTCGAGGGCAGCCTGGTCTACAAATAGAGTCCAGAACAGCCAAGGATGCACAGAGAAACCCTGTCTTGAAAATAAAAATTAAAGAAAAGACCCAAGACACTGCATATTTTCTCACAATGTAGAAAGATCCAGGAGGGGAAGAAGACTGAGAATCCAAGATCACCCTCAGCTGCAGAGCAAGCTTGAAGCCCACCTGTGTCAAAATGTGCTTAATTTTAAAAACCGTGTATTTAACAGCTGTCGGAAGTACCTCTGCAAGAAACATGATCAGATTAAAACTGTCAATAGAGGCAGTCAGACCAACCTGTAAGGACAGTAGGCATCCTTCAACTCCCAGCTCCTGCTCTAGAGTCTGAGGTGTGCATAGGCACTGAAAACCAAATGTCTCCTTTTTTCCTTTTCGTGTGTGTGTGTGTGTGTGTGTTCCTATGTGTGGTGGTATGTGTGTTTGCACATGTAGAGGCCTGTGGTTGATATGAGAATCATTTTTATTCTTCTACCTTATCCTTTGAGAGTGTGTCTCAATCAGACTCAGCTCTCTAGTTTGGCTAGTCTCTGTAGCCAGCTTGCCTTGGGACCCCACCATCTCCACTTTCCCAGCCTGGAATTTCAGGCAGGTAGCCATATCCATCCGGCATTCCTGTGGCAAGTGCTTTAACCACTGAGCCATTTCCCTAGCCCTTATGTTTTTTTCCCTGAGATGGTTATGGTGGTACATACCTCTAATCTCAACAGAGACAAGCAGATCTCTGAGTTCAAGGACAGCAATGTCTGCATTGAGAGACCCTCCCAAATAATAATTTTCCATGGCATTAAAGTGATATCTCAGTTTTCATTTTTGTCTCCTTAGGGGCCTGACTTACAAGGAATCTGGGGTAGACATTGCAGCCGGAAATATGCTGGTTAAGAAAATTCAGCCTTTAGCAAAAGCCACCTCTAGACCAGGTAAATTAGACCCTGTACTCTGCTAATAATTCTGAATTGATTTGGGCTTTATATTTAGCTGAGGAAAGTGTCTCAACTTAACTGCTAGATTTCCTCTAAGTTATTCTTAGCCGAGCACATGGTCCCCTGCCGTCTTGATCAGTTCTCTGTACCCCTGATGCTCTCTTCCCACTCTCAAAAAAGGTAGCTCTTACATCAGTGATGGTCAGGAAGAACCAGTGCCAGGTTTGTGGTCTCGTCAGTTAAAATGCAACAAGTCGTTTGTTTTCAACAGGCTGCAGTGTTGACCTTGGAGGCTTTGCTGGTCTTTTCGATTTGAAAGCAGCTGGTTTCAAGGATCCTCTTCTGGCCTCTGGCACAGATGGTGTTGGGACTAAACTGAAGGTAACCAGACACTTGGGATGAAATGCTTTGTGAAAAAGGAAAGGAAATTTGTCTTTCAAACAAATTTTATGTTTATCAAATAGCTATTTTCTTAACACACATGAGCAGAAGAGAGCCGTGGCCACTAACCATTTATCTTTACTATACAGCTCAGGTGCACATTTTAGACAATAAAGAGGAGCACTGCATAGCTTGTCTGAAGGTTGCTTTTGTCCTGAGGTGTTCTAGGCCAAAGTCAGTGGTGTTTGCTAACCGACAAGATGAAAGGCGGAGCTTATTCTCTGCATGGTTGTTTATATTCTACAGATCGCCCAGCTCTGCAATAAGCATGGTACCATTGGTCAAGACTTGGTCGCGATGTGTGTAAATGACATCCTAGCACAAGGAGCAGAGCCCCTGTTCTTCCTAGATTACTTTTCCTGTGGAAAACTTGACATCAGTACAACTGAAGCTGTTGTTGCTGGGATTGCTGAAGCCTGCAGACAAGCCGGGTGTGCTCTCCTGGGTATGACCCGTTGGCCGGAACGTCCTCTGTGCTGCCTGTCACTCATGTAGAATGTAAATGTGATGTTGTCAGGGCGGGTGGAACAGACTTTACATCACCAAACAGGGACATGAAATGTAGGTAAAACAACCTGCATTCATCTTACCGGTTGCCATCTCATCATCCTGAGCTGCCACGCAGGCTTGTCTTTCTCCCCTGTCCATCTCCATGTTTCTCAAGAGCCTCACTGAGCAGGTTTAGGCCTTTCTCCTCCTCACTGGGCCTGAAATTGCTTATGTTAAACTATAGTTTCCCTCAGAAGTGAAATAAAGAATAAAATGTAGCCTGGTGGTCAGAGCACTTTTAATCCCACCACTTGGGAGGAAGAGGTCACAGGATCTCTGTGAGTTCAAGGCCAGCCTGGTCTACAGAGCTATTTCCAGGACAGCCAAGGTCACACACACACACACGCACACACACATGCACACACATGCACACACAACCCTATCTAAAAGGAAAAAACCATATATGAGGGACTTTTGGTTTTTTGTTTTTTTATGTTTGTTTTTTCTAAAGATTTATTATGTATACAATGTTCTGTCTGCATGTACACCTGCATGCCAGAAGAGGCCACCAGATCTCTTTAGATGGTTGTGAGCCACCATGTGGTTGCTAGGAATTGAACTCAGGACTTCTGGAAGAGCAGCCATTGCTCTTAACCTCTGAGCCGTCTCTCCAGCCTGGACTTTTGTTTTATTAGGTAGACCAAGAAACAAAACTATACTATTACATTTCAGGGTTGGTATGCTGGTGTATGCCTATAATTCTAGCACTTGGAGATGGAAGCAAAAAGATTGCTAAGAGTTTGAGCCAGCCTGGGCTACACAACAAAATTCATTGTTTCAATGGAAAACATATACGCTCTATCTTTAGATAAATCAGGTCTCAATGCCAAAAGCTGCCTTTAACTATGTTTACAATTCATTGCCTAGGTTGGCATCTGCTGCCTCCCTCTATTGTCATGTGATGTGAATGCAGGACTATGCTGTGGGTGCGGGCATTTAAAGTGAGGCAGCTCTGTAACGTTACCTGGATGGTGGAGTAATTGTAAAACTAAGGGCTGGAAACCTGGCTCAGCACTTAAGAGCACTTGATCCTTTTCCAGAGAGCCTGGGCATGGTTGCTAGAGCCCACATACAGCTCGCTGTAACTCCAGTTCCAGGGAATCCAGTATCCTCTTCTGTCCTCCATGGGTACCAGTCATGTACATGGTACATGCAGGAAAAACATGATATGTGTAAAGTGTAAAAACTCAAGCATGAAACTACTTGTAAAATTATACACTGTAGAATGTTTTCAAATCCAGCTGAGCATCCTTGGGTAGAATGCTTTGACCGTGTAAGGCCGGCGGAGGCATTATCCCATCACTGTTCCTAGGTGTTAGCACTCTCCCTAGAAACCAGGCAGCAAGTAGAGCACAGGCCTAGTGTCACATTGATTATTGTGTTCAGTGTGGCTCCTGTCACTGTTGAGCAGACTCCTACGCATCACGGGATGTCTCTGTCCTTGTCTTTCCAGGTGGGGAGACCGCGGAGATGCCAGACATGTACCCACCTGGCGAGTATGACCTTGCTGGCTTTGCTGTTGGTGCGATGGAGAGAGACCAGAAGCTGCCTCGGCTAGAAAGCATCACTGAAGGGGATGCTGTAGTTGGTGTAGCTTCATCTGGTCTTCACAGCAACGGCTTTAGCCTCGTGAGGAAAATTGTGGAGAGAACCTCGCTCCAGTACTCCTCTCCAGCACCTGTTGGTTGTGGTGATCAGAGTTTAGGTAAGCTGACTCTTGCTGTCCTGCTTGGAAAGTAAGCAGCCACTTCAGGGACAAACTGTGATCACCTAACACTGGAAGGCTTGCACTGCCCATCGGTTTTCTTCCTAGGTGACTGATGTTCTATGCAAGGTCATATTGTTAATTTCGGAAGGGTTTTTTTGTTTTGTTTTAGTTTTTGATGTTTGGGTTTCACATGTGTGGGCTAAGTTTTTGTGTTCTGTCTCCAATCCTCAGGGGACTTACTTCTGACTCCAACCAGGATCTACAGCCATTCACTGCTGCCTGTCATACGCTCTGGGCGTGTCAAAGCTTTGGCTCACATTACTGGAGGCGGGCTGCTGGAGAACATCCCCAGAGTCCTTCCCCAGGAGCTCGGAGTAGATATGGGTAAGCTGGTGGATGGAGAACATCCCAGAGGCCTCCCTTGGGAATTTAGAGTACATGTAGGCAAGCCCACCAAAGGAAAATTCTGATTTAGAAGACAATGTGGAAGGAAAAGAACATGTACCATAGGTAGTGAGTATGTGCATGATTGTACATGGAAGATTTTTGTTGGTGGTGGTTGATTTTGTTTTTTGAGACAGGGTTTCTCTGTGTAGTCCTAGCTGTCCTGGAACTAACTTGCGCTCTCTCTCTCTCTCTCTCTCTCTCTCTCTCTCTCTCTTTCTCTCTCTCTACCTCTCTTTCTCTTTTAAGGCCAGGCTGGCCTTAAACTCAGAGATTACCCTCAGCATCTGGAGTGCTGAGATCACAGGCAGGCGCCTCGGCGCCTGGCTCATTTTTTAGTTAGACATAATCTCACTGTGGTCCAGACTAGTCTCACTGTATCATCAAGGCTGGTCTCACTGTGTTGTCTAGGCTCACCTTGAGCCTTCTGTCTCTGCTTCCCTGTGGATTAGAGGCATTTCCCATGTCTTAGCTTACATCTTTTTCTGTAAGTTCTTCAGAAAAGCTTCTGTGCTGAAATCAGAACCTGGCCCCCACTTGCTTCTTATTTACTGTAGTGTTGGAGTGCACTTTTCACAGTGGCACCGTTTCTTATGGAAGAGTATAGCATTTTATCCAAGTGCTGCTGTTCAGTTCCACATTGCTGTTGGCTTCTGACCATGGGGTCATGGTAAGCATTTGTTATGACTGAATCTTATGAACTCTCTCAAGTTCATAATGGAATTAATAAACCTACTGAGGGCTGGAGAGATGACTCAGCAGTGAAAAGCACGTGTTGCTCTTGCAGAGGACCCAGGTTCATTTCCTAGCACCCACATGGCTGCACACAACCATCCCTAACTCCAGTTCCGGGGCTCTGACCCCTCTTCTCACCACCAGGACACAAGGTACATGTATGGTACATGCAGGCAAAATCAAAGAAACCTGACTGGGGAAAAGACTATAGGCATGTTGCATTTTTAAAACTACATTTTAAAAATTGATTATCAGGCCAGGTGTGGTACCCCACACTCTTAATCCCTGTACTCTGGAAGTAGAGGCAGAAGAAGCTCCATATGAGTTCAACACCAGCCTTAGCTACATAGTGAGTTGCAGGTCAGCTAGCACTATAGGATGAGACCCTGTTTCAAACAAACAAAAACCAGTTATCATATAGATAGGCTAAGTAGGAGGAACCAATAATCAACTGTCATCTAATAAAAGCTCACTTCTGGTCTGGAGACATGGTTAAACGTGTTCTTGCATAGGACCTGGATTCCATTCTCAGTACCACATGGCAGCTCACAACTATTTGTAACTCCAGTTCCAGAGGCTCTGCTGTCCTCTTCTGATTCCCAAAAGCATCAGGCACACATGTGGTATGCATACGTCCATACGTACGTACATGCAGGCAGGACACTCATAGACATTAAATAAAACATGGATCTAGAAAACACCTAGTACAGCATGAAAGGAAGGGTTCATTTCATCTTACGATGCTCGTGTCATATTCGTGACAGGGCTGTCACAGCAGGAACTCCAGGCAGATCTGGGAGGTAGTAACTGAATCAGAGGCCATGGGAGGGTGCTGCTAAACTGGCTTGTTCCCTGTGGCTTGCTCAGCTGGCCTTATCCCACCCAGGACCACCATGGGTGGCACCTCACTCAGGGATCTGGCCCTCTCACATCTGTCACTAAAAATAAGCCTCACAGGCTTGCCTACCATCAAATCTTACAGAGGCATTTCCTCGGTTGTGGTTCCCCTTCTCAATCAACTTGTGTCAAGTTAACAGGAAAAAAAAAAAAAAGACTTAAACAGAACAAAAACTAAATTCTCTTTCTTAGCAGTCATCCTAAATAATTCAGTGTAGTTTTTGTAAATCAAATTCTATAAGCTGTACGCTCCAAAAGTTATCCATGTTACTTGATTATTGAGGAATTTTATGCCAGTGTCTATAACTAAGCTGTTACCTGATGCATCCGAGAAATATTTTGATGAATTGCCTGTGACAAAGGAGGAGCTGCAAGTCATCTCAGAGCCTAAATTAAAGGGGGGGAGGTTAAAAGAATGAGATATTATCAGAAAACCTCTGTGCCAGAACTGCCTTCTGAGTAGTTCTGCATGGTGTTCAGGGGACATCTTGTCATTACTGAGACTCAGCTAAACCTTCTCAAAGGTGGCATGCCAGTCTCTACGTCACCAGCTCCTAGCACATCTAAACCGCTAGGAGGTTATGAAGATCCAGTAAGTTCAGAAAGCATAGACCCTGCCTTCTCTTGTCAGAACGTGACTGAAAGGACCACTGACCTTCTACTTGACACAGAAGCGGGTTGGCTGGGGCTCCTGTGTTCTCTGTGTGGGACGGTCGATTAATCGGGTGACTCTTCTTGTTCTCAGATGCCTGCACCTGGAGAGTCCCCAAGGTCTTCTCATGGCTACAGCAGGAAGGACAGCTCTCTGAAGAAGAAATGGCCAGGACATTCAACTGTGGAATTGGAGCCGCCCTGGTGGTGTCAAGGGACCAGACAGAGCAGATTCTGCAGGACATTCGGCAGCACCAGGAAGAGGCCTGGGTGATAGGTAGTGTCGTTGCGTGTCCTGAAGGTAACAGCTCCTTGGCTTTGGTTTATAATCTTGACTATGACCTCGCTCTGCCCCTCAAGCTCTGCACCCTTTCTTCCAATTATCGCCATAGCATTTGTCTTTATAGACAATCTGGCTCATCTAACCTGGTGCCAGAAGCATCTGTTTCCACTTTGGAACCTTGACGTCTCTGTCATGGTCCTGCCTCGAGGTTTAGCTCAACATACATTAGTGAGTGAACACCCTGACCTGGTCTGTACATTGGTCAGAACCCTATCAAAACTTAATGGGTGGCAGACAGATCCATTCACATAGCTAACAATGTCAGCGCTCACTGGTCTTGCTTCTGTTTGCTTTTCTACTTCCTGCTATGTAGGTTTTGTTTTCAGGCAGGTTTGGACAGTAACACCCTCAACTTAAGCTGTAGTACAAGGCCCTCCCTTTCTCAAAACAGCTTCCCCTGCCAGTGTTGAATGGCCTTGCTGGGCCACAAGCCTCCCAGGAAGGCAGGATGTCTGGCACTATGTGAATAGGCTCACTGGGAAGGTTGGGGGGTTGGGGAGAACACAGGCAGTACTGTATGTAGCTGTGCTTTGCTGTGCTCAAGTATTCTATAGCGCTTAGCGGAAGTAGCAATTACATATGTGTTCTTAAAAGTGAGAAATGGGGGCTGGAAAGATAGCTCAACGGTTAAGGGCACTGACTGCTCTTCCAGAGGACCCAGGTTCAAAACCCAACACCCACATAGCAGCTCACAACTCTCTATAACTCTAACATCTCACACTCATATAGACATACATGCAGGCAAAGCAGCAATGCACGTAAAATAAAGGTCAATGTAAAGAAAAGTGAGAAACGGTAAATGTTTTTTAGTTCCTGTATATTTTTCTTTCAGAATAAAATAGTGTTCTAAAGTTTCTTTTGTTTTTCTATTATTCCTATTAATTCATAGTTATTCTTATTTATGCATATAAATAAAGGTTCTCCTCGTGTCAGAGTCAAGAATCTGATTGAAACCATGCAAATAAATGGGTCAATGGTGGCAAATGGCTTCCTGAAAAGTAACTTCCCTGCCCAGCAAAAGAAGGCAAGAGTGGCTGTCTTAATATCTGGAACAGGTAAAACTTCTCCCCAGGTGGAGCTGCAGGGCTCTCCCCACTCCCCTTCTCACAGACGGAGGGAAGACCTTGGGCAAGAGCCTGGGGTGGTGAAGAGAATTTAAGGAGACAGCAAGGGCTGCAAAGCGGTGCCCATCTTAGGCCAACTCCTGAGCTTAAAGCCAGCCTCATCCACATAGTGAGCTCCAGGCCAGCCAGGATACACTGAGACCCTGCCTCCAGAAACAGGCTGGAAGGTGGCTCAGAGGTGAAGGCACTGGCTACTCTTGCAGGCGACCTGGGTTCTGTTCCTGGCACCCACAGGGTGACTCACAACCACCCCTGACTCTAGGTCCAGAATATCTGACACCCTTTTCTTCTGAACTCTAGGCACAGATACATACATGCATGCAAGCCAACCACTCACATAAAATTTTGAAAAGCTTAAAAACAAAATGTAACACAGAAGGATGAGGAGTCCACCTGTTTTGTATCTTGATGGGTGAAAAACGCTTAAAAGTTGAAGTAATAATTACATATATTCACCTTCACCATGTTCTTAAAAGTGAGAGTGGTAAATGTTGTTAACCTGGTATTTTAGTTCCTGTAAGGCTTACTTTGAGGATAAGATAAATATTCTAAAGCTGTCGTTTATTAAAAGTAAGAACTCTGGGTAGGAGAGATTTGATTCTATCAGTCACCACAGTGTAACTCTGCTGTTTGCTTTTAGAATTACCACATAGCCAGTGTGGCCTGGCCTTTCTAGAGGGAGCCACAACACCCAGTTCTGTTTTTCCTCACAAGTAGCATTGCTCTGAACAGTGTGAATAAACAGTTTGTTGTTGAAGGCACCTAAGCATTTCTGTAGACGATAGTCTCGGTGCCATGGCTGCCTTTCAGCTGCTCTTAAAATTTAAGTATATTTTAGGCACAATTTTGGGATTAAAGCAGAGAGGCCATTCTAAGGGGCAAGGGTGCTGTGAGGAGGACTGAGCTTCCAGAAACAGGAGCTCACTTGTTCTTTCCCGCTGTTGCAGGATCGAACCTCCAAGCGCTCATAGACAGCACTCAGGGTCCAGGGAGCTGCTCACATATTGCTGTTGTCATCTCCAACAAGGCTGCTGTCGCTGGCTTAGACAAAGCAGAAAGAGCTGGAATTCCCACCAGGGTGAGTCACTGCACAAGTGGCCTCCTGCAGGCTGTACCTGGTGCTTGGGTGGTTTGTTTGATTGGTGCTGGGTGTGCTACTCAGCCACACCTCCAGCCCCTGCACTCTGCTCTCCAAGGCTGCGGAAGCACTTGTGCAATTGCGGGACCTCCCACTTTTGGGTAGGTGCTGGGCTTGCTCTTCTGCTTCATCCTGCCTATTCCTCAACCATCCCTCCAGCGGGTACGTCTTCATCACTGACGTGTGGTCTCTGCAGAGGTTGTGTTTAGATTATTAATTTACTTTCTCTTTTCCTATTGTAGGTAATCAATCACAAATTATATAAAAATCGTGCTGATTTTGACAATGCAGTTGACCACGTCCTGGAAGAGTACTCTGTAGACATAGTCTGTCTTGCAGGATTCATGAGAATTCTCTCTGGTCCTTTTGTCAGAAAATGGGATGGTAAGCAAACAGTCCTCACCCTCGGGATGTCAACATGAAGTGTAATTAGTTCCCTTTCCTTTGGCTCAGAATGTGCCCACACACTGATTTACTGAGCAGTTCACTCAGCTGTTGGACTGGCTGTCACTGATCGCTGCCAAGACACTTCACTGTCAGAGAAATATCAGGAAGACTCTTTTCCATGTTTGGAGACAAGGAAAAGTGATTCTTCATCCACACGTGTAGCCCCAGTCCTGAGGGCGAGGTGGGAGGACTAAAGTTGAAGGCCAGTGCGCTCATATGGGGCACACAAACGCTAAGCATCAGAAGGGAGAAAAGATGGGGGATGATCCTGTATCTCCCAAGATGGGGAGACCGGGGCAGGGGTCACCCTTGATGTACTCAGTTTAAGGCCAGATTGAAATATAGAACAAGACCCTGTCTCTAAAGACCAAGGGCCAGCAGCTGGGGAAGTTCTCAGTGGTTGAGAGCATTTTTACTCTTGCAGAGGGCCTGAGTTCAATTCCCAGAACCACCACTCACAGCTCACAGCCATCTGTAACTCCATTTCCAGGGCACCCACCTTCTGGCCACTTCAGGTACCAGGCACATTTATGGTATATAGACATACATGAAAATAAAACTTCCATAAAATAAAATAATAAAAGAAAAAAAAAAAACAGACCAATAGCTAGAGGTTTAGTTCTGTGGTAGAGCATGATCGTGTGGCATGTACAAGGTTCTGGTACCACAAAAAGAAAAATAAAGAGTCATGCTCTCCTATATAACACAAAGACAGCATGGAAGGCCTGTTGCTGAACATGCATCAAACTCTCCAATCTCTTTACCTTTTCCCTTGCACCTTGTTTAGTTACTTTGTGTGCGTGGGCTGGTGGACTGCCTCCGCATGCCTGTGGTAGTTAGAGGGCACTTTGTAGGACTATGTGGATCCTGGGGATTGAGCTCAGTTCAGCAGGCGTGGTGGGAGCTCAAACTGCGACCAGATGTCATTTTTCTGCACATATTCGGGGCACTTCCCTCCAGAGTTTATTTTTTAAGGTAAATGTAGTTAATTGCTTGTTCCTTTAACAGAATAGACAGGAGCTAAAATTTCTGACTGCTGCTTTGTTGCTTTCTAGGGAAAATGCTCAACGTCCACCCATCCTTGCTCCCTTCTTTTAAGGGTTCAGATGCTCATGAGCAAGTCCTGAAAGCTGGGGTCACAGTTACCGGGTGTACCGTACACTTTGTGACTGTAAGTGGCTTTTCGTACCAAACTTTTGTCTCTAGTGTCTGGGTGCAGACTACACTGGCTAGAAAGCAAGGTTCCAAACATTTGCTTCCTTTTCCAGGAAGATGTAGATGCTGGACAAATCATCCTCCAAGAAGCTGTCCCCGTGAAGAGGGGGGACACTGTTGCAACTTTGTCAGAGAGAGTCAAAGTTGCAGAGCACAAGATCTTTCCCACAGCCCTCCAGCTGGTGGCCAGTGGGGCTGTGCAGCTTGGAGAAGACGGCAAGGTCCACTGGGCCAGAGACAGTGACGCCTGACTAGGGAGTGGACCCAGTGCTGAGAGGACTGTGGCTGTTTGCTTGGTGCCTTTTCATCTGGCCGGGAAAGACGTCAGTGCTTACCCATTGCCATCTGTAATAGACACATTGACTAGAGCAAAGCTTATTTACAAATGTTAAGACACCCAGGAGTGGGATGCTACAAGGCACATCCATATGAACCCAGAGGACTTTGCATGCTTACTGCCTACAAGGCTTCACATTCTCAGAGGTATGTGAACACCTGTGGCCACACCCATCCCAAAGGCAGCCAGCCATCTTGAAGTGCTGAACATAACAAGAGCCCAGCCTGCACAGCTGTATTCCTCACCTAAGGTACCTGGAGTCTGTGATGGAATCCTCCCTACACTTTAAATTCACACTGACAGTAAAAGGTCCTCAACAGCAGAAAATCCTTCAACTGTAACCTTAGAAAAAGAGGATGAGGAAGCCAGGGCACGGTGGTGCAGGCCTGTAATCCTAGCACTCAAGAGGCAGAGGCAAGCAGATCTGTGTGATCCAACCTGGTTCAAGGACAGCCAGGCCTACACAGAGAAACCCTGTCTCAAAAAAGGGGGTGGGAGGGTGGGAGGTGGAGGGAAATGTCTCAGCTACAAGAAAACAAGAGACCTGCTGTGCTAACAGTCCCTGATCACTGCCTCTGATGCAGCCAGGGCACCCCAGGCATGTGCCAGTCACCATCATCGCCCCTTTTCTTTTCCCTCAGATGGTTCTAAGTGTCATTAAAACAGTGACTAGGTCTGGAGACTTCTCATCACAGTTAATGCTCCTGTCTTGTGCAGTGTTAAGGGACAGATGGGAGACAAGGAAATGCTTTGGGTTAGTGAAAGCACATACTTAGAAACCAGTACAGGAAGTCAGTGTGAACCTCTAACCTGAGAAATTTAAAGGTTCAGTTTGACCCTCTGTACTGCAAGGTTAATATGTGAATAGATTACCATTCTAGCTCTACTTCATGCTCTGAAGGGCCAGTGTCCATGTAGTTGATCCCATGTCTCAGAAAAGAATCCATGTGTCTCCATGTCTGCTTGCCTGCAACCAAAACAGACCTTAGAATAGCAGGGACCAACCAAGCAAGGTGGTACATGCCTGTAATTCCAGCACTGGGGAGGCAGAGGCAGGCGGATCGTTGTTCCAGGATATCCTGGTCTGCAGAGCAAGTTCCAGGACAGCCAAAGCTACACAGAGAAACCCTGTCTCAGAAAACAAACAAACAAAAAATCAACTCCTTTATCAAGTAGTTCTAAAGAGGAATTGGGATGACACCCAGACATGAAATACACTAATGGGCATTCTCCAGCCCGTACGATTAAAAACAATGATGACAATGTGGCGCTCAGTGCTGCACACTCCAATTAGTCTGGTTTACAAGGGAGATGTGGAGTTTGGTAACTAGAGCACCCACACTTACTGACAGATCTGTGTGAATTTGAGTTAGGCCAGCTAACCCTGCCTCAAAAATAAATTCAAGTCACTGTTAACTACTTTCCATCCTGCATTTGAAAGTTTTTCTTAGCACAGAAAGAAAACAATGATTATATTGTTTATAACTTTAAAAATTGAGGACCTGATTCTGCCTCCAAAAGGAGATAGAGCGATCTAAAAATATATCAGTTCATGTACAAGGCTTCGTGCAGTAATTCTCACAAAATCTGAGGCAATGATTACTTCCTCCTGTGTAAAATACAACAAAGTAGCATTTGTCTCATGTTGCTATTGTAAGGATTTAGAAACTAAAGCCCCCACCTCAGAGGCATACCTTTAAAGCTGAATGACTGATTAGAACCTCCTGATTTTGGAGAGTTAGAATGCTATAGAGCCAGAACAATGCCAAGTGGTAGTGACACAAGCCTGTGATCCCAGCACTCACTCCACTCTGGAGTCAGAGGCAGGCAGGTCGGGGCTGCACAGAGAAACCCTGTCTCAAAAACAAAACCAAGTTATCTTGGGTGGCTTTTAGTTAGTAGTTTCTTTTAAAGCCATTCATTTCTGACCAGTGTCTGTGAGATCAAGCAAAGCCTTTAAATTGTAGTCTTAGCAGACTAGCTTCCCCCAACCCCAGCTGGCATCTGAAACCTATAACCCTTTTCCTCCACTTTGCTGTAATCCTTCAACCTGTGGTCCCCACCCAGGTATTTGGTAAGTACCCTGATTGAAGACTATTCTACGATTTTTATTGTTTTGGTTTCTCTGTGTAGCCTTGGCTGTCCTGGACTTGATTGGTAGACCAGGCTGGCCTGTAGACAGATCTGCCTGCCTCTGCCACCCTAAGTGCTGGGATCATGAGGCATGCACCACCACGCCTGGCTTCTATAAAATCTCACACTCTTACTTCCACAGTGGAACACGTCGTTTTGTGTGACCTGAGTATGTGCCTCCCACTAATGGTCATTTATAGAGCTCATATAAAAACTATATAAATTTTTTCTCCTCCCCAAACGGGTTCTCTGTGTAGCCCTGGCTGTCCTGGAACACACTTGTAGACCAGGCTAGCCTTGAACTCAGAGAAATCCTGCCTCTGCCTCCCAAGTGCTGAGATTAAAGGTGTTCACCACCACACCTGGCTAAACTATTTCTTATTCCTTTTGAGTTAAGAGCTCTTTTTACATGGACTTCTTAACAGAATACTTACAGCTTCAGTGCTTGGCAAACACAGATGCTAAATACACATGTACTGTTTACCTTTCAAGATTTATTCTATTTTATATCCACAAGTGCTTTGTCTGCATGTTTATATGCACCATATATGTGCCTGGTGCCACAGAGGTCAAAAAAGGCTCCAGAACCCTTGGGTCAGATGGCTGTGCACCACCATGTGAGTGCTGGGAATTGAACCCAGGTCCTCTGCAGGAGCAACAAATGCTTCTAACCCCTGAGACGGTTTATAGCCCCACATTTACTGCTTTATTATTTTATGTGTATAGGTGTTTTGCATGCATGTATGTCTGTGTGCCACATGTGTGCGTGGTGCCCTCTGGAACAGAAAGAGGACATCAGGTGCCCTGGAACTAGAGTTACAGACAGTTGTGAGCTGCCATATGGGGGCTGGGAATAGAAGAGCAGCCAGTGCTCTGAACTGCTGAGCCATTCTCCGTTCCCCACATTTACTGTTTACCAGTGTCTGACTTTACAGAGAAGCATCTCATATAAGAGATCCAGAAGGTGGAAACAATAGGAATTAACACCCAATCAGGAAATTCATACATCTTTGCCTTTATCTTCAAAACAATCAAGAGGGAACTTGAGAAATAAATAAGTCCATATGAGCATTGCCTGCCTTCTGGGGAGCCCGAAGGCTCATGACTGTCTCTAGCCCTACCTGGTACAAAGATATATATGCAGTCAAAACACCCATACACATAAAGTATAAATAAATAAAGGCTGGAAAGTTGGCTCAGTGGTTAATTATATTTGTTGTTCTTGCAGAGCACTGGGGTTCATTTCCCAGTACCCACATGACACCTCACATCTGCAACTCCAGAGTACCATCTTCTAATCCACATGAGTACTGCATGCACCTGGTGCAAAAACAAGCCTTCTGGCAAATCAGCCATCCCCATAAAGTGTGCATAAATAAAGATTAAAAAAAAGTCAAGGGGCCAGGCGGGGATTCTGCACACCTTTAATCCAGCACTAAGGGAGAGGCAGGACTGACACCAGGCCAATCTGGTCTTATCGAGCCAGCTCCAGAACAGCCAGGGCTGTTGGAGAAACCCTGTCTCCAAGAACAAAACAACAAATAACAATGACAACAACAAAAATGATTCAAGAAATTGCTCTTCAGAAACAATTTCAAGTTCGAGGCCAGCCTGATGTACAAACTGAGTGCAGGGCAGCCTGGAATCAGAGAGTATGGCTACACAGAGAAACCCTGTCTCAAAAAATAAGTTGCTCTTCAGGATGGAATGGAACATGTTCAAGTCTCATCGGTGACTGTAGAGCCAGGCGACCTCTCTGATTTTTTTTCCTTCCCCTTCCAGTGTCTGGCCATGTGCAGTTCTCGGTGAGTGCTTGCTGATGGGGTGAAGTATAATCCAGCTGGCAGGGTCTGGAGGGATGGCTCAGAGGTTAAAAGCACTGGCTGCTCTTCGAGAAGTCCTCAGTTCAATTCCCAGCTACCAAATGGTAGCTCACAATCATCCATGATGTGATCTAAATGCCCCCTTCTGGCCTGCAGGCAGTATGTTGTGTAAGTAATAAATCTTTTTTTTTTTTAAGATTTATGTATTTATTATTTATACATTATTCTGCCTGCATGTGTGCCTGAATGCCAGAAGAGTGTACCAGATCGCACTATATAGATGGTTGTGAGCCACCACATGGTTACTGGGAATTGAACTCAGGACCTCTGGAAGAACAGTCAGTGCTCCTAACCTCTGAGCCATCTCTCCGGCCCAATATAAATAAATCTTTTAAAAAACAATAATAATCTGGCTGGCAGAGCTCTAAAAGTGCTTGCCCTGAATGCACAAGCCTTTGGTCTTATATCCCCAGCATTCCATAAACAAGTGACAAAGGGGCTGTAATCCCAGCACGTGGAAGACGGAGGCAGGAGGATTTGTAACTCAAAGTCCTCCTTTTCTATATAGAGTGCGAGGCCAGCCTGGGCTAAGGGAGAGGATGTGTCAAAAATAAATAAATGTAAAATAACACCCAAACAAAAGACCGGCAGAACTTAAGACCATCTTTCTAGGCCTAAAGAACCTTACTGACGGTACAGGTGCCCCACGGGGGCAAGCAGCCTGATCTCCCGACATCTAAAACAACTTACTGAGGGCCAGCGCTCTCCAAATCACATACATAGTGGAGTCACAAGCCCATCAAATGCCGGAACTCCTCTCGAGGACACCAAAGCCCCCACGCCGATCCTGCCAGAGAACTACATTTCCCATGATTCAAATCGGTCGAACCCTGCCCTCGAAAGCCGGTGGAGGCGGAGCCTGTCGCCCCCGGCACAACAACGGTGTCCGGAGTATTCTGTCCTCTGTTCACGGGGGTATGGGTCTGTAAGAAAGAGACGGGTGTCCCCAGTGAGGGAGGCCGCCTGTCGCAGTGAAGTGCGATGCAAGGCTCCGCAGTGTAGCGCGGCAGAGGGGCCAGTGTCCGGCGGCAAGGCCGGGCGGAGGGGCCCCGAGCCACCGAGCCCCCGTCGGGTCTGTGGAGGTGAGTAGGGGGTGCAGCGGGACTGACTCTGTCCTGAGGCACCCCTCACCCGGTGAGCACACCACCAGCATTCCAGACAACTCTAAAATCCATTGACCCCTATATTACAGGGTTCCTATGACTTCTAAAACCCGACCCTTAATTCACGTCCAGCAGTTCTCTAGTACCTCATCGTCTTTTGTCAGGGTTCAAAGTCTCCACAAGACCATGCGTTTTTAATACAGGAGCTTGCTTGCTCACCTTTCATCCTCCTCCCTCCCCCAGCACTTAGCAAATAGTGAGGTGCGGAGCTTAAAGGCAGTTACACACTATTCAATCTAGTATCTCACTCTAACGTTCCCTGTTTTATGTGCAGCAAGTATTCTTTCGGGAGAAGATGCCGTGAAATGATGGCGACCATCTGCACACGTGCGCGCGTGCGCACGCACACACAAAGTGCTCAGGGAAATTTGCAATTTGCTGAGGATACAATTAATTCAAGTGGCCCTTGCCTTTAATCCCAGCATTCTGGAGGCAGAGGCAGGCCGACCTCTTGTGAATTTGAAGCCAGCCAGGTCTGTATTATGAGTTCCAGGACCGCCAGGGCTATGTAGAGACCCTGTGTCAAACACAAAACAGTTAACTCCTTACTGGGCCCCAACCCTACCCTACCTACTTGTTGTACCTCATGTTAAGTTGCTTAACATTTTGGACTTGTTTTCTTATAAAATGAGAAATTTGGATTAGATGGGTTCTAAGAACTTTCTAGGTCTAAAACTCTGTATGTGGTAAGTCGTGGAATTCAGATTTTGTCACAATATGTAATTACTAACCATCAGTGTCCATCTCCTAGCTTCATCAGTAAATAGTCATAAATATTTATGTATTTTTGCATAGCAACATTGTTACAAAGAACTGATGGATGGATTTGGTTTGGTTTGGTTTGGTTTTTTTCCATTGCTTTTATATGCATGTTGTTTTGCCTGCATGTATTTCTATGCATCCAGTGCCTACGTAAGCCAGAAGAAGGTGTCTGACACCCTGGAACTGGAGTTAGGGACATCTGTTAGCTGCCATGTGAGGGCTGGGAAACAAACACACCTCAGCCCACTCTCACCCTAGAGAACCAATGCTTCCTAAGAACATGTAACCCACATCCTGACTTACTCTGGTATTGAAAAAAAGAAAATGGCTGATAACACAAGTTTATTCAACTGCTCTTTGCTGTTTTGTAGATCACAGTTAGGGAAAATTCCAGATTCAATGATGATAAGCACAGCAGGCGTGAAGATGGCTGGGATCTTAAGACTGCATCTAATAAGTTCGTCATTGATTCCTCACGGGGTAAGAATGCTTTCAGATCCTGGATGTAGGATGATGTCAACCCACACATCCAAGAAGAAGATCAGAGAATACTACAGCCTGCTGAATCTAAAGGAAGGCTGCTCTGCTGATGATGTCAGGGAGGCTTTCCGTAAGCTTGCCAAGCAGTACCACCCAGACAGCAGCTCTAACCACGCTGATTCGGCAACATTCATAAAGATTGAGGAGGCTTATAGGAACCTGCTCTGCCATGTGCTAAAACAAACAGATGCTAGACAGACTAAAGCTGAAGACGCAGAAGAAGAGGAACAATTCAGATATAATACACCTCAGCACCGACACTATTTAAGCTTCGAAGGCGTTGGCTTCGGCACTCCCAGTCAGCGAGAGAAACAGTACCGACAGTTTCGGGCAGACCGTGCAACAGAGCAGGTGATGGAATACCAAAGGCAAAAGCTTCAGCGGGAGCACTTTGCTCATAGCTTAACTGTCAAAGATGTAAGACAGAGCAAAGAACAGAAGATAACTCAAGCCATAGAGCGCCTAGTGGAGGACCTCATCCAGGAATCAATGGCAAAAGGAGACTTTGACAATCTCAGTGGGAAAGGAAAACCTCTGAAGAAGTTTGCTGGCTGTTCGTATATTGATCCCATGACTCATAACCTGAACAGAATATTGATAGATAATGGGTACCAACCGGAGTGGATTCTGATGCAGAAGGAGATTAAGGACACTATCGAGCAACTTCGAGAAGCACTTTTAGGGTATAGGAAGACGTTTGGGAACCCTCTGACAACAGGGGAACAGAAACAGTGGAACCAAGTGTGTGAGAAGTTTCAAGAAAACATCCAAAAGCTAAACAAGCGAATTAGTGATTTCAACTTGATTGTTCCTATTCTGACCAGGCAGAAAGTCCATTTTGATGCACAGAAAGAAATCATCAGAGTCGAGAAAATGTATGAGGCCCTCTTAGAAGCAAAAGAAATCACAGATAGAAGCCCAACTGACATTAGCCAGGAAGAAGAAGAGAAAACGCCCAGAGTCAAGGCAGGCTTTCTAAACTGGTTGAATCTGTGGAAATTTATTAAAATATAACTATTTTGACATTCATGATCATTTACTGCTCTGGTCAGTTTTGAGTTGCTCTGACACCAGGCAGAACCTGAGATTGATTGTTGTGTTCCAGCGACTTGAGAGATCTGTGCCTTTGTAGTTGCTAATCACACACACACACACACACTCGTGAGAAAATTCAGTCAGTATTGCTGTAAGGATGTCGTGAGTAAGAAATACTATTGCTGAAGGAAACAGGCTAATCCATGCCAGACTTCAGGTGATGGGTCCTAGGGCTAAGACCCATGACCCACACAGGGCATTCCAGAAATCTTAGTGCTCTTTCAAATGCCAAGAACAGAAAGATAGTTGTTTGACATTTCTAAACATAGGTGTTTAAGCAAAAAAACAAAAAGCTATATTTTTAAAACACTAAACTGAGGATGTTGTAATGAGATTTAGTCAACTAAAGGCTCCAAATATATATATATATATATGAGGGAAGGAAGGATAGGGGGAGGCAAAGAAGGAAGGAAGAAGGCTGGCCCAGTGGTTAAGAGTGCTGGTTCCTTGCTGCTCCTCCAGAGGAACAGAGTTCAATTCCCGGGACCCATACCAGGTGGCTCACAACTGCCTGGAACTCCAGCTTCAGGGATCCAGTGACTTCTTCAGGCCTCTGTAGACATCTGCATGCACACACACGTAAATAATAAGTTAAAAATCTCCAGACTAAGGTTCCAGGTGTGGTGGCACATGCCTTTAATCCCAGCACTTTTGGGAGGCAGAGGCAGGCAGGTCTCTGAATTTGAGGTCATCCTGGTCTATGAAGCAAGTCCAGGACAGTCAGGGTTTTGTTACACAGAGAAACCCTGCCTTAAAAAACAAACAAAAATCTCCAGACAACAGGTAATTCTTGCTATCTTATATTCCTGAGTTTATTAAAGCTCCAAATTCAAAAGTATTTTGGAACGTCTGCTGGGTGGAGGAAAACTGAAGTTCGGGAATTAGTCTGCTGGGATTCCTGCACTTGCACTGCAGAAACTAGACAAAGGAAAGCAGTAAGCAAATAGGTAGGCTAACGGCAAGATCCATTCCTACAGAAGTCAGTCAGTTAAGCGAGTTGATTTAAAAGTTCTAAATTAGGGTTCTTTTTTTTTTTTAAGATTTATTTATTATGTATACAATATTCTGTCTGCATGTATGCCTGCACGCCAGAAGAGGGCACCAGATCTCTTTATAGATGGTTATAAGCCACCGTGTGGTTGCTGGGAATTGAACTCAGGACCTTTGGAAGAACAGCCACTGCTCTTAACCTCTGAGCCATGTCTCCAACCCCCCTAAAATTAGGTTTCAATGCTAAAGACTTTGAATATATTTTTGTAACTTTTAGAGGGGGTGAAAATCCCTGAAAACAATGCAAAGGTAAGAGTTCACTTCCAGTTTCTTCTTTGATCACAAGTTGAAATGCTAGGTTTCGGACTTTCAACAACATTCAGAGCCCTAACTTCTGTTTTAGGGGCCCAACTTTCTGTCTTGGGGACCCTTTGATAGTTTGTCTAAGATGAGGTATCTCAGGTTTGTCCCTTGGCATCTTCAGAAAATGACAGGAGACAAGTTGATGGGAGTGCTCCTGCCTCCTTTCAGAACCAGGGCTCAGGCTTGGCTGCTTGCTTTGGGCACAGAACTAGGTACCTGAAATGAAGTCGAGGAGGGCAGAAAGGAACCAATCATTTCCAGAAAGCACTGTTGAGATGGGTTTCAGGGAAATGGCTCCTGACAATGACTGGGGTCCAACGAGTTGTTTTGTAAAGTATGTGATGGTTAAAACAACAAAGAAACCTCCATCCTCAAAAGGAAGTCGGAGCCTTTCTGCTTCCATGATTGAGCATTAGTTGGCACAATAAATTATTTTTTTAAGTTAGATTGAGTTATCTGGCTTCCGCAGTGATGGTCCTGTATTACTATACATGAAATTGTCAACAGCATGGACTATGGCTTTGTGATAAGAGCTATGATTCAAACATTTCAGAAGCCTATTTTTCTGTGACTCTTGTTTGTTTGTTTGTTTGTTTGTTTGTTTGTTTTAAAAAAAGGAATTTGGAGCAAACATGAATGAAATAATTTTCAGTATTGTATATGAGAAGGTGAGATTACCAAAAACTATTAATTTTAGCACCATTCACTTTATGTTTGCAAATGTCTGCATTAATAAAATTACCTTAATGATTATTTAGTCGTCTGTTGATGTCTAACAAGTAAATAGCCATCACATTTGGGGCTAGCCACCTAAGTGGATCTTTAAATTTTTTTTATTCTTATGTTATTTTTTTTCTCTTTTCAAAACTTTTCTATTTATGTTTATGTGTGTAGGTGTTTTGCTTGCATGTATGTGCACCATATGCATGCTTGGTGCCCAAGGAGGTCAGAAGTGGGTGGATCTCTTGGGTCTGCTGTGAGCAGCTATGTGAGTGCTGGGAATTGAACCCATGTCCTCTGGAAGAGCAGCAGGTACTCTTAACCACGGAGTTATCTCTCCAGCACGCTGCCCCCCCCCCCCCACTTCTTTATTGTTTGAAGCAGTTTCATGTAGTCCAGGCTGGCCTCAAACTCACTTTGTAGCCAAGGGTGACTTTGAACTTCTGAGCTTCCTGCATCCACCTCCCCTGTGCTGAGATTACAGGTGTGGTTCAACCCCAGGGCTGGGCTAGGACCCAGGGCCTCACAAGCTGGGCAAGCACTCACCAGCTGAGGCTCCCGGGCCCAGGCCCCTCTGATGTTTTTGGTGGATGATGGGATATCTGATTGTGATATCAATCCTCAAACATTAAAGGGGCAGCTTCATTTATGTAAAAATGGCATCATTTTAGCAAGCCCTCTGGAGCCAGAGAGAGGGGCTGCAAGTTTTCAGTTTGCTGAGGTGGAGTTGATGCCTGTGCTGGCCTGTTAAAATTAGTTTTTCCGCTGCCTGCCTGTTGATAAGTTTCCCTCTCCATTGCTGCGGCTGAGATTAACTGCCCTTGCAGACAGCTGCTGGAAGGGAGAGGACTGATTTCAGCCCACTATGCCCGATTACAGTCCATCAGTTCAGGAAAGTCTAGGCATGGAAACTTAGACACAGCCAGCCACATCACATCCGCAGTCAGGAGCATGCATGCTTCATGCTTAGCTTTCTCTACTCAATAACTCAGGACCCAAGCCTGGGGAATAGTGTGGGCCCCTTTAAGACCAGCAACACACACACACACACACACACACACACACACACACACGCACGCTCCTGCTTCCAGCCCCCAGGCATGCCATGGGCCAATCTAATCTGGGCATCCCATCGCTGAGACCCTCTTCCCGGGTGCTTCTGAGGTCCTGTCAAGCTGACAATTAAAACTAGCCAGCGCAGTAAATTATGAGGTTCCACAGCACATTGATGGACACACAGGAAGCCCTGCCTGCTTCTCAACCCTTCTTGCACTGCTTCTGTCAGGACTGACCCAATGATCTGAGACAAGAGCCTCTTATCTGCAGGCCTCAGGTAATTCGCTGAACCCAGAAGAAAAACAGACATATATTGTTGAGGGTAGAGAAAATACTTCCAGGGACAAGCAAATCAGCAACTAGTCATCAGGAAGAGCTCAGGGATGTCCTAAAAGGTGGAAGAAGCCCAGTAAGGGTACCCTAGCATCTGGTAACAGGCCGTGCCTCTGGAAATATGCCAGGCCTTTGATCCCAGCACCTGGGAGGAAAAGGCAAGTGGATAGGGTGACTCCGAGACCAATCTGATATCTGATAGTGAGTTGCAGGCCAGCCAGGACTGTAGAGTGAGATCCTGTCTCAAATTAATGGGGGGAAAAGTCAAAATAAGAGGCATGGTTAAGGGGAGCACATGCCTAGGAGGAGGACATTGTAGTACCCCCATGTCAGAGCTAATGGTTTATCTGTTCTTAGAAATATCATCTTTCTCTTTTGATGGTGTTTTGTTCTTTCACTCTCTCTTGAGGTCATAGCATCTACGATCCTATCTGAATTCTCAGAAATCTATAATGGAGGGGACCTCAGTGTAGCCATAAGATACAGACTCCTTGGTGTGTCTGTTGTCACCAGCACCCTGGTGCTGACACCACATTGGACCAACGAGTCCTTTCTACTCAAGGCTCAGACATAAGGAGAGGGAAAGGAGTCCTTAGGATGGGCCAGCCTCACCTGTTGCTCTCTCCAGTTTGCCACCAAGCTGGGTTCCTAGCCTGCTGGGGAGTGGCAGAGCCCACTGTCACCCTACCTCAGAGGAATACCCCTAAGGGCCCTGACCATGTCTCTGCTCATCCAAAGTCTAGAGTAAGGCCTAGGAATAACGGGGTGGTCTTTGCCTCCAATCACAATTTCAAAGACTGGCTTCCAGTGAGAGGGCCCAGTCTCCTCAGGTGATTGGCATGAATACAAGCATTCCCCAGCACCCTGAAGAGACAGCAGGCCAGACGCAGTCAAACACACCTGAGTAGGCTTGTAGACATTCTCACAGAGACCCACAGCTGTGGGGAGGGTTCCTACCTGGGGACACGGGTGAAGAGGACATCTGTGGTGCTGAAGCTCTCCCACTAGGAGCGTTTGTCCTCTGATGTGTAGAGCTGGCTCTTGTCCTCTGGTACAGGCAAGCTTGATTCTGTCTGCACTTCCATCCAGTCACGGTGTGTTAATCCACCTGGTGTTGCTAAGACTAAATGCCCAGGGAAGGCTACCTTTGTTAATAGAGAAGGCTACGTAGCTCACCACATGGAGGGCCAAGGGTACAGCACTGCCACCACCTCTGGTGTGCGTTCTCTCAGTTACATCACATCATAGCAGGGGCCTGACTAAGGAGAGAGTGCATCTGGAAGCAGGAAGCCAGAGAGAAACTGGGTGGGGCCAGGCTCAGGCCTTTGTGATAACCCTTTGGGGAGAACTACTCAGAGCAGTCCCGCCTCAGCCCCTGCATCAGGCGCTGGGATTACAGGCGTGCACCACTGCCCAGGCTCTAGACTCCACTTGTTCTGTTTTATGTTAACACTTAGTGATTATTCATAATGATGGGCTTCATATGGCATATTAACACAGGTGTATGTTTTTTATCATAGTCACCCCATTGCCCTTTCTTGCCCTGTACCAACACCTGTTGATTATTAATTTAGAGACAGAATCTCACTATGTAAACCTGGAATTTACAGAGATCTTCCTGCCTCTGCCTCTCTGGTACGTAAGCATGTGCCACCACAGCCAGCTTTGTCTGTCTGTTTTTGAAACAGCGTCTTATGTATCCCAAGATTGGCCTCAAATGTGCTCTGTATCTGAGGATGACCCTGAACTTCAAATCCACCTGCCTATCATTCCAAAGTGTTGGGATTACAGCATGTGCCATCATGCTGGGTTTATGCAGGGCTGAGAATCTGAACCCAGGGCTTTGAGCATTCTAGGCATGTAGTCTACCAAGTAAGGCACATCCCAGCCCTACAGACCTCCATCCTTTAAAAGACTTCACATCACCTCCCAAACATACTAAGCTATAGCCCTAAATCCTAACACAGTAAATGTTGGCGACAAACTGAAACTATCCAAACATAACAGTATACATTTGTGCTGGTTAGTTTTTCCCATATTGACAAAACTTGGAGTCATCTGAGAAGATGACTCAGTTAAGAAGATGCACTCATTAGAGGGCTGTAGCCTGGGGGGCATTTTCTTTTCCTTTTTTTCTTTTTCTTTTCTTTTTTTTTTTTTTTTTTTTTTTTGAGACAGGGTTTCTCTGTATAGCCTTGGCTGTCCTGGACTCCCTTTGTAGACCAGGCTGGCCTGGAACTCACAGAGATCAGCCTGCCTCTGCCTCCCAAGTGCTAGGATTACAAGCTTGCACCACCACACCAGGATGGGGGCATTTTCTTAATTGAAGATTGATGTAGAAGGATCGAGCCCACACAGGGAGCTACTGACCCTTGCCAGGTAGTCCTGGGGTATAAAAGAAAGCAGACTGAGAGAGCCAGAAGGAGCAAGCCATTAAGTGGAATTCTTCTCTGGTCTCTGCTTGAGTTCCCAGCCTGTTTGCCCTATAATTAAGAGCTGAAATAAACCCTGCCCTCTCCAAGTTGTTTGTGCAGGAAGTGACTGCCAGGTACACACAGAAAGCAAATCAGTGCAGGTGGCAGTGGCCATCAGATTCACGGCTTCGAGAGCATGAGCCTCACATGAGACTTGACTTTTCACCGAGCCTGTTCTTCAGGATCCCTGAAGCAATGCAGACTGCCTTTCACAAGTAAGAATTGTGACCGAAAGAGATGACACTATGTGAATGAATCTCACAGTGTCAGGATAAACAGGTGCTGTATACTACATCACAGCAATCGAAGCACGTGAGCTCTGTCTGTCCGTCTCTGCCTCTGCAACCCCCTCTGTGTGTATGTGTGTGTAAATCGGACATCAGCCTTAGGTGTTGTTCCTCAGGCATTATCCAGCTTGTTTTTTGAGGAAAGGTCTTTCACTGTCCTGGGACTCAAGTAGGCTGAGCTGGCTGGCCAGCAAACCTCAGGGGATCCTTCCCAGTGCTGGGATTATAAAGGAAACTCCCAGGCCTGGTGTCTTACGTGTATTCTAGGGCTCAGACTAGGTCCTTAGGCTGGTAGAACCAGTACATCACTAGTACATCCCCAGCCCCCTCTGGCTAGAATCTTAGGTCTAGCATTTTGTAGGCACATGCCTTATGGAAGATTCCTGAACTTCACTGTCCTATTCATATGAAAGGAGGAATAAAAAGTATTGTGGGGGCTGAAGAGATGAGCCATGTAAATAATCAAATGCAAAGGCCAGGCGAGGTGGTGAACACCTTTAATCCCAGTATTTGGGAGGCAGAGGCAGGTGGATCTCAGAGTTCCAAGGCCAGCCTGGTCTTCATACCAAGTTCTAGGACAGCCAGGGCTACCTAGCAAGACCCTGTCACAAACAAACAAAGATACTCTCTGATTTGTACTCACTTATTCTCCTATGTTTATGGAAATCGCTCTTCATGCTTTCAGCATAAAATAAACTTGTTTTCTTTTCTTTCTTTCTCTTTGTTTTGTTTTCAAGACAGGGTTTCTCTGTGTAGCCCTGGCTGTCCTAGAACTCGCTCTGTAGACCATGCTGGCCTCAGACTCAGAGCTCTCCCTGTCTCTGCCTTCCACATGTTGGAAGTGAAGGTATGTGCCATCACCATGCCGCTAAAGAAGTTTCTA